GGGTCCCGGGAACGGAGGCTGCGGCCGGTAAGAGGCCGTGGCGCAGGGCGGGAGGCGGGCCCACGCACGTCACGTTACGTCACGGGCGGACAGGAGGGAAGCGGGCTCGCCCGGCGTCTCTCCTGGGCTGGGGGCGGGCCTTACGTCACGGCCGGGGAGGGGTGGGGCCATACGCCCCTGCACGTCACGGCCCGGTGGGCGTGGCATCGGTCGGGTGGGCGTGGCGTGGTCCTGGCCCCGCCTCCCGGTGCTGGGATTACCCGTGGCCCATCTGCCTTTGCCAGGCTTTGGATCCCGGTCGCTAATTGCTCTCCAGAGCCCCGCCGAGGCCGAAGGAGGCTCGATTCCCCCCGAGCGCCCACCTCGGTGACTCCCTGATGGCCTGGGTTCATGTTCTTGGTTCTCCTCCTGGAACCCTGCAGCCCGGGCAGGCGCACCCCTGGCAATGGCTGCTCCGATCGTCCCCGGGCTTTGTCTCTTAGAACCCACGGCCACGGGAGACCTAACTGGCTTCCTTCAGGCCTTGGCACCTGGGACTGGAGAGCTACCCAACACCTGGCCCGGCCTCCTCTCCTGACCTGGAGACCCCCCTCCTTCCCACTAAGGGAAAGCACCTCAGCCAACACCCGCATCGCAGCACCGCCGGCTGTGTTCCCATTGCTGGGCTCAGGCAAACTGAGACCTGAACCCAGCAGTTGTAAGATGAGGAGCTGTTTGGAGCCGGAGACCCACACAGTCAAAGATGAGGGTGGGGAAGGGAGGAGCAGGCCCAGGGTGGTCAATGACCCCGCCCTGGCTCACAGTCCCAACGACCCTCCTGTGCTCTCCGCATCAGCGAGCCTGGGACTTCGCCTGATTCTCCGCTCCCAGGCTTGTTTGTGAGGCGTCTTTCGCCCACTCCCCAACGCCCTCTGGCCCTTCCCATCGGAGTCTGATTTAGCCCCACCTGCCCCCAAGCCCCAGGAGCTCTCCCCCTAAGCCTGCCTGTCTCCCACCCTCTGCCACGGTGGCTTTCAGTGACTGAGAACTGGGGCTTTGCGCCCCCGTGACGCTGGCTTGCTGCTCCCAGCCCCTCCAACGGTGCGCTCTCTCTGCAGCACGCTGCCTGGAGCCAAGACGACCTCCCAGATTGCCGCTGCCCACCGCCGCCGCCGCTGTGAGGCCCCCGGTATGCTGCTGGGGGAAGCCCCTGAGCCTGCCCCGTGCACGCCACTGTCCGGCCTCCATGCCAAGGATGTGGGCCGCAGAAGGCAGAAGAAGAGGAGCCGGCAGCACCAGCGCTTCATGGCTCGCAAGGCCTTGCTGCAGGAGCAGGGGCTGCTGAGCTCCGCCCCGGGGCAGCCCGGCCCCTCGCAGGCCCCGGGCGCCCCCCCTGCCAGCAGCTGGAGCCAGCATCTGCAGGTCGGCACTGGCTGCGGAGGCCCGTGCCGCGAGAGGCCCACGGGCAGGGCAGCCCCGGGGCCCAGCAAGTGCGTGGCCGTGGACTGCGAGATGGTGGGCACCGGGCCCCGCGGGCGGGTGAGCGAGCTGGCCCGCTGCTCCGTGGTCAGCTACCACGGCGACGTGCTGTACGACAAGTACGTCCTTCCCGAGATGCCCATCACCGACTACCGCACCCGCTGGAGCGGCATCACGCGGCAGCACATGCGCAGAGCCATCCCCTTCCAGGTGGCCCGGAGTGAGGTGAGCCCCCCAGGAAGGGCCCCCGGCCTCTCCCCGGCTCTGGGGCAGGGCGGGGGGGGGGCGGCTGCAGAACGGCCCTGCTCTTGGGAAGGGGGATGAATGGCATAGAGGTGAGGCTTGGCTCCCTGGTATAGAAGCGGCACGTGGCAGGCCAGGCGTGCCCCCCCCCCCTTGCAGGCTCAGTACCCCCGGAGGCTGAGGCAGAGGCTTGAGAGTTTGGGATTAGCCTGGGCTGATTGTTAGATGCCCTCCCCCCAGCCCCATCTCAAAAAGAAAAGAAGTGAGCGGGGCGCTGCGGCTCATGCCTGCAATCCAGGGTTTTCGGGAGGCAGACATGAGGAGGGTCAAAATTCTAGGACAGACCCCACAAAAAGTTCCCGAGCCAGGTCACCCCTGCACAGAGCGCTCTCGGTGCGTGGCGACATGTACCTCTCGTCCCAGCCGTACGGGAAGCATGGACAGGAGGATGCCAGGCTGGCCCACACCTCCAAACCGCAGTACCGCCGAAAGGAGAGCCCGTGCCGCACGCCGTAACATTTGCAAGGCCGGCCGCCGCCCCGCGAGGCCCGGGTATCCGTGTGCCGGCCCCTTCCCTCGGGAATTCTCCAACACTCTGGACCAGCGAGCTGCAATCCTGTCCCCACGCTCTGGTCCTGTACAGCCCTAAAAGCCACCCTGCTGCCCGTGCCCTGCACCTCTCATCCCAGCCACTCAGGAGGCTGAGACCTGAGGATCGTGGTTTGAAGCCAGCCCAGGCAGGAAAGTCTGTGACACTCTGATCTCCAAGCAACCACCAGAAAACCAGAAGTGGCGCTGTGGCTCCGACTGCAGAGCACTCGCCTTGAGCAAAAGAGCGCAGGGACAGTGCCCAGGTCCTGAGTTAAAGTTCTAGGACTGACAAAAAAGAGAAGAATGGAAGCGCAGCCAGGCAGCAAGCCCCGAGGGGCAGGGGATGGGGTCCCTTAGCATTACAACAGGCTTCTCCTTTCCCTGGGCGCTGTCACGCCTTCGTCCATCGGCAAGTTAGAGAACACGAGGCTCCCTCATGGATCAGGTCAGGGAGCCTACAGCATGTGACAGAGAAGGCAGGGCTGCACCATCCCTCACACCTGTAATCCCAGCTCCTCGGGAGGCAGGGATCATAGGGCCGAGGTATGGGGCCGGTGCGCAGGGCAGCTGGTGTGGTCTTGGGGTGAGCCAGCCGGGGAGGGTCAGGGTCCCCACAGCAGCAGGAGCCCAAACGGCACCCCGGAAGGGCCTGGGCTCCACAGCGTCCCTATGGCGGGGAGCTGGGGGGGCTCCTCCCCTCTGGATGGGGAACTCCTCCCCCCCACCGTCCCCACCGGCCTCCTCTCCACGCAGATCCTGAAGCTCCTGAAGGGCAAGGTGGTGGTGGGGCACGCACTGCACAACGACTTCCGGGCCCTCAAATACGCGCACCCCCGGAGCCACACCCGCGACACCACCCGCGTCCCCAGCCTGCTCGGCCAGCCCGGCGCCCAGGCGCGCACGCGCGCATCCCTGAAGGACCTGGCCCTGCACCTGCTGAACAAGAAGATCCAGGTGGGAGGGAGGGAGCGGGGAGGGAAGGGAGGCCCATGCGTTCCCCCCTGCGTGAGGCCTGCTCTCTGAGGCCTGCCTGGAGGACAGCTTGCAGCCCATTCCAAGGAGAAAGGCCTAGAAACACAGGAGATGGGAAACCCCACCCCCCCCACAGGCTCGGCCCCTCCCCTCCGGGACCAGGCCTGGGTGTCTCCAGGCACTCAACAGTGTCTCCAGGCACTCAGCGGCCGCTCCCCTCCCAGGTGGGCCGGCACGGCCATTCTTCGGTGGAGGACGCCGCCACGGCCATGGAGCTGTACCGCCTGGTGGAGGCGCGCTGGGAAGAGCAGGAGGCGGGCCGGGCCCCCGCCAGCCCCCAGGACTGGGGCCCCGACAGCAGCACAGACCTGGAGCAGTTCATGGAGGACCGGTACTGGCCCGAGGAGCTGGCCCAGGATGCCGCGCGCAGCTCCGGGGAGGCGCAGGGCACCGGCGAGTGAGAAGCAGCCGTCCGGCCTGAGTCCTGGGCTGGGCCGCACAGGGCCTTGGTGTTCCGGGGCGGGGTGGGGCGGGGCAGGGGTAGGCGGAGAGCCAATCACCTGTCAGGTGTCCTGGGATGGCAGTCTGTCCCAGGCTGGGTCTTGCTGGATGCCACCTCGGCCTCCTCAGCCCGGATAGGACTGAGAGCAGATGGACGGACGCCCCCCGGAGGACCAGCGTGCCTGTTTTAATCCAACTCAGGGGTTCCCCTCCGCCCTCCAAGCCAAGCTGCCCCCTCTCCCAGAGCCCCAGCCTTCATGGAGAGCATCCCCACCCCCACCCAGGCTGGGCCCTGTCTCAGTGAGGGCACCCCGGTGGGCTGCGGCCCCAGGGCGGTGTCTGAGCTCCTGGCCCCAAAGCTTGGGAACTGGGGTTCCTAGGGTTTCACAAATCTCTCAAACTGTCCTCCTGCCTTGCCTCCCATGCCAATTGTGGGGTACTAGTGACCTCAGGACGTGGGCCTTAACTTCCACGGGGCGCGCGGACTGGGGGCAAGTCCGCGACTTTCCTCCTGAGCCCGTAGGAAGGGGGGAGAGAGGCGGCCCGCTGTCAGGGCCGGAGAGGAGTAGCCCCGACCCTGAGCGCCCAGCAGAGCTGCAGCCCCGATCAGCGCCTGCGGTGGGCTGTGCCCGCGGTGGGGCAGGGCGGGGACGCTGCGGGCCAGGCAGTTACCCGAGGGCCTGGCTTGAGCTGCCAGCCTCTGGCTTCTCCCCTCGAGGGTGGGCCGTCCTGGGGCCCCAGGGCCCAGCCTGCCCTGTGAGGACCAAACCCCAGGTCCTTAGAAACCTGTAGCCAGTGCCAGACTGGGCCCAGCGGGAGCTTCCCAGCTTGGCCTGCGGATGCAGGACGGGGCCCGTCACCAGGAGGGGGATTACTGTTGGAATCAGCTTTGCTGGCAAAACCACTTGTTCTGGAATAAAGCTCAATTGGAAGAGTTGGTGAGGTGGTGGAGTGGGCCGGGGGAGAGGAGGAGGCTTTTAAATCGGGAGTCAGGGCTGGGGTGGGGGTCAAGAGGGAACCAGCCAGGTGGGTGCCCTGGCGGGAGCCTTCCAGACCCACGGCAGCTGGTTCCGCAGCCTGAGCCAATCCTCCAGCCCAGCATTTCGCTGGGGGGGGGGTGTGGAGCCTGGCAGGCTTTTCTGCCTGGTAGGGCTTCAAACCCCTCAGCCTCCCGAGTAGCTAGGATTCCAGGTGGATCTTTAAGGAAGCTCAGTACAGATCTACGTAAAGTAAAAGGATTGTGTTATTCCCGTGGTGCTGGGGTTCGAATCCAAGGCCTTGCAAACACAGGGACCGTGCTTCTACACCGAGCCACCCTTCTGCGGCCAAAGAGGCCCTCCCCATGCCCCAGGGGTGGGCATTTATTTTCTGGGTGGAGGATGAGAAAGTAAAGACGTCACGATCCACCAGTGTCAGAGCGTCCTGGGGGAGGAGGCCGGACCGAGAGGACACCCACCCACCTGCGGGCCTGCCTACCGCGGGTGACCACAACGCCCGGCCCTAGAGGAGAGCTGAGCTGCCCTGCTGAGGGGCTCCAGGTGGGATTCCAGCCCACGGCAGTGCCAGCCACTGCCAACGACGGGACAGGGCCCCCTCCCACAGGGGAGGGTGCAGCCAGCCAGCCTCTGGTTTTCTGTGAAACTTCAGAACCAGTGGGTCCACTGTGCGCGGCCGCCAGCAGCCACCAGGTGTCGCTGGAGGCCTGTCCTCAAGGCTGCCCCCCCCCCCCCCAGCAGGACGGGCCCAAGGTCCCTGGGGATGAGGCATGGTTGTGTCCTTTAGGGACAGGTCAAAGGAGTTGCTAGCAGGCTGGCGCCTGGAGATCAGGAGCAAAAGGGGACCAGGGGGACCCCCAGGACAGGCAGATGAGAATATAGACCCTACTTTGAAAGATTACCAATGCAAAAAGGATGGCTGTGAGGCCCGAGTGGTAGAGCACCTAACCTTGTGAGCACAAGGCCCTGAGTTCAATCCTCAGTACCACGATGGTGATGATGATGATGAAGAAGAAGAAAGTGGCTCCTGCCTGTCATCCTAGCTACTCAGGAGACTCAGATCTGAAGCCAGCCCAGGCAGCACAGTCCCCGTGCGACTCTTACCTCCAGTGAGCCACCAGAAAACCAGAAGTGCAGCTGTGGCTCAAAAGGGTGGAGCAGAGGAACTCGGGGACAGCGCCCAGGCCCTGAGTTCAAGCCCCACGATTGACAACAAATAAGGGAGGAGGAGAAATAAGAGCAGCAGCAGACAGAGGCGCAGAGTCCTGTGTGGGCGGGGGCGTGGCTCGGTCTGGGGCGGCGGAGGGCGGGTGCTTTGAGGACGTTCACGCCCTGGGCTGCGTGGAGCCCACGGCCCCGGGGGCGGGAGGCCGGGGTCAGCCGGGACGCACGTGGCAGTTTGGGGTCGGGCGCCCCGCGGTGGACGCAGGCTGGACGTGGTGGCTGGCTTGTCCCGCGGTCCGCTCAGGAGCTGCTCTCCGGTATCAGAGCAGCTCCAGCCGTGGGCGCAGCCCTGCCCCGGCCCCCAGCTTCCCCGTGCCCCCTCCCCAGCCCCGGCCCCAGCCGAGATGCCAGCCAGCCCCGTCCAGGCTCCAGGAGAGCAGCTGGCGCTGCCCGCTTCCTGCCGGGCGTTGTGTGGGCTGCTCTGGGCAGGAGCCTGGGGCGCGGACGGGAACAATCTCTCCTCTATATGGAGAGGGTGCAGCGCTCCTCGAGGGCGGGGGGGGGGGCTGGCCCGGCCCCAGAGCCCCTGCAGCTCCAGCCACGTGTATTTCGTGGTCTCCGCTCTGGACATGAGGGAGGCCCGGGAAGGGGGGCAGTGGGTTTTGGGGCACCCAGGTGGGCCGCTCCCTTGGGGCCGGGCTCAGCTGTGCCAGGCAGGCCCAGCCCGGACCTGCAGCTGCGTCCTGCTGGGCTGACCCCCACCCCCACCCCAGTCCCTCCCTCTGCCCCGGGCTGGCAGCGAGCACGGCACCGTGGCCGCCGCTGCGGGCTGGGACACCGCCGGCTCCTGGCTGGCCATGGACGCGGCCACGGCGGTGGCTTGGTGGCTGGCCGCGGTGGTCAGCCAGGAGCCGGAGGGGCGCGGGGCGCGGCTGTGCGGGGGAGGTGTGCAGAGGTGGGCAGACGTGGGCACTGTGGGCAGGAGGCCCTCGGCGGGCGGGCGGTTTGGAGGCCTCCCGGGCGTCCAGTCCAAGTGGAAGGGTTTATGAAAACCAGATGCTGGTTGGAGTTGGGGTGGGCGGCTGGGCTCCCCCCTCGAGACTTTCCCACCCTCCCCACCCGGGGGTGAGACAAACCGGTGGTGCAGACGGGGCCAGGCGGGCCGGCCTCGCTGGATCAAGAGGGGTGTGCGGCGCGGGGTGGGGGTGGGGGGGTTGATGGCACCGTAATCACGGGCATGCGCACTGCCGGGCACCCTGTGCAGCCGCCTTCACAGGCTCAGAGAGGTTGACTAACTGGCCCAGGGCACACCCAGACACCACCTGGAGCGAAGAGCTCTGGCAGCTCGGCCCGACCTCGGCCCTTCCACCCCGGAGGCCGGGAGCCGTCCACACTTTTCAAGACCCAACTCCCCCCATGGGGGATTCTGGGACATGATGATCGTCATTGTCACCGTGACACCGACGCTGGGGGGGGGGGCAGGAGGGAACACACAGCAGAGGCTGGACTTGAACACAAGTTGGCCTCATTGGCAAAGCCTGGTACCTGGTCGCATCTCAGTAAACACCCCGTCCCTTCCATCTCCTCGGAGCCCAGGAGTTACTTCCCCAGTGCCGGCCACCCAAGGGTGTGCAGGCCGCTCCCTGTGGCTGGGCCCGGCAGAAAGAGCAGTGTAGAGACGCGCAGGCGGGCTGCTGGAGCCCAGCGCCCTCTCCCCTCTCCCCGGCCTCCCGCCCCCCTGCGAGGCCGGGAGGGGAGCCAGCGCGCACACCAGGGCGGCGTGGCCGGCGGCCTGCGGCCAGCCCCAGGGCAGCTAGCCAGGGACCCGCGGCCGCAGGAGAGAAGGGTCCCTCTTCTCTCCACTCAAAGGCGGATTGACGAAAGCTGGCTCTGTGACTTTTTCCAAGAACCTTGTCGGGAGCCAGAGACTGGGCCCATCTGTGCCCTGGGCTCTGTCCTGGACGCGGCTCAGGCCACAGTCTGGGGCGGGCGGCGGGGCCGGCTCCGTCCTGCGGGCCGCTGGGCGGGTGGCTCCCGGCTGGCGGAGCTGTGGCCTGGAAGGGAGAGGGTGAGGCTGGGCAGGGGCAGCGGCTTCCAGGGGCTGTGTGCAGACGGACCCCGGGGGGGGGATGGGGGCTCCTGGGTCCCCCTCCCCAGCCGGGCCTCCCCCTCCCCCGGCCTGGGCATTCCTTGCCTCCTCTCCCCACTCCTCATCCCAGACTCACACATTGTACTGTATTCTGACATTTTTTATGTGTGTTTTTGGAAGGGCAACATGCTGACAGAGTCAAGAATGGAAATGCTAAGCCGGGCACCGGTGGCTCCCGCCTGTCATCCTAGCGACTCAGGAGGCTGAGAGCTGAGGATCGCCGTTCAAAGCCAGGACGGGCAGGAAAAGTCTATGAGAATCTCATCTCCAGCAAAAAGCTGAATGTAGAGATGTGGCTCAAGTGGTAGAGCACTAGCCTTGAGAGAAAAAGCTAAGGGACAGCACCGAAGCCCGAAGAGCAAGTTGTAGTATGCCCTTGGTAGATATGTGAGTGCATCATGTGTTCATATTGCTCTGTTAGTATCTTAATTATACTAGTAATTGTGCCAACAATGTATTCATATTTTGTTCTGATTTTGAGGGCATTTCCCTTTTTCCAGGCATATAATATTTTGTGCTCTACCGCCCTTCACTAACTTAGATTCTAACAAGCACAGGGGTGGTTTCTGATTTTCCTTTCCAGAGGAAGCCTTGTGTGGAAGGTTCGAGTCCCGCCAGGTTGTTCCGATTATAGAGAAAAGAGCAGCGACTTCCACCATCGGTGCCATGCCCCACAGGACTGGAGTGGAAGCCTGGCCCCGGTGTGTGGGCAGGCACGGGACCCCGCATAGGTGCACACGCATGCACCCTTCAAGAGTGAGGGCCCTGCTGGGGGCCCCCCGGGGAGCCGGGCCTGGGGAAGAGCGGTAGACAGACAGCCATGCCACACATGCCACTTCCGGTTTTCTGGGGTTAGAGAGTCTCATGGACTTTCCTGCCCAGGTTAGCTTTGAACCGCGATCCTCAGATCTCAGCCTGTATAGGCACTTCTTTTTCTGCTTTAGTGATTGTTTTTTTTCAGGGAGAGCCTCACATATTTTCCCCCTGGGGCTGGTTTCAGACCACCTTTCCCATAGCTGGGATTACAGGCATGCACCACCCCTGTTGGCTCATTGAGATGGGATTTCACTAACTTTTGTATCTGGAACCGCCACCATCCTCTGCCTGTTGAGTAGCTGGGGTTATAGGAGTGAGCCACCTTGCCCAGCCTACGGTGCTGTTTAGCTCAAAGTGTTGGCTGGGACTGTCATCGCCTAGCAGGTGCCCCGGAATGTTCTGGGAAAGAGGTGCCCGAGCAGATCTTGCTAAAGTAGCCATCACAACCCAACTGCGCACACAAATCACAACCCCGGCGGGCAGCGTAAGCACTGGGGGCTTCTGCCAGGTCGCACGGGTCCGGCGTCACCTAAGGCCGTGGGACCGTCCCGAGAGGGTGACCCGGGAGCTGGGACATCTGACCGGACGGCAGGCAGGCTTGGCATCCGCACAGAAGGAGGGCTCTTCTGGAAGGTTCTTCAAGCTCCAGGGCACCTTGTGTGTGTCAGCCCCGTGGCAGGGGTGAGCATGGGGTGCGGGACGTCCGCCAGGACTATTACTCAGACAGACCTCGGCCCGAGGGCCAGAACGGCGGCAATTATTTCAGCGTTCTTGGAAACCCCGAGATTTTCTTTC